ATCAGCAGGCGGGTTGGCGCAGTGTCAGCAATAACGGCGGTGTTGTACCAGACTGTCTTGGTGAAGAGGGAGCTGAAGCTAAAGACACATTTTTTGAATTTGAATTTTATATACCCTGATGGAAATTCTGGTTTACACTCGGTAATTGAGAGACATATGGGCCCAAATCACACACCTGCACAAACAGGACCTGTGGATATGCATTAGCGGAGAGATGTGAGAGTGAGGCTGCTACACACTGCTATTTATATTTATATTTACGTTTTATTTTATTAATATTATAGTTTTTCATTCTTTTGATCCTTTAACCACTTGTTTCTATTTCTTTTACTGCTCTTACCTTCTTATTGCTGTTATCTTTTGATTTGCTTTTATCTCTTTTAGTTTCTTACATCTTTTTAAATCTTTGGTCCTCTTGGTCTCAGCTCGTCTTGTTGGGTTCTTGTGTTGCCTGTGTTCTTGTGATGGTTCTTGTGATGGTTCTTGTGATGGTTCTTGTGATGGTTCTTATGATGGTTCTTGTGATGGTCGGGTGATATATGTCTGTTGGGTATCGTGTACTTTGGGTTCTTTTCTGTTGAATTGTATTTAATTATTTTTAGTATTTTGCATTTGTTTGTTCTTGCTGTTGTTTATGTTCTTCTGTGTTTGGTTTAGTTTGCTTTGTTCTTGTTTTTGCTGTTTGTCAAAGCACTTTGTAAACTTGTGTTTTTAAAAGGTGCTATACAAATAAAGTTATTATTATTATTACACAGGGAGCGCAACAGAGCGGTAGGAGGTTCGATGCTTTGCTCAAGGGCACCTCGGCATTACTTGGTAAGAGGTCCCTCACCTCTTTAGCTACCAGACAAACTTCCATTATGGTCTGCATCAGGACTTGAATAGGCGACCGTCCTGTTCCCTACCCGTGCCCTGTGATTGTGCTGACCGAACCTGAGGAAGCTAGAGGTGAAACGCATTGTTCGCTCACAATAAAATATAATTAGATTATTTTCAGTGTGCTATGTTCCTGCAACCATGCGCACCTGAGAGTGTATACAGGCTGTGCACAGGGACCCATGGCCATTTAGATTCAGCAAAAGTGTGCATGATTTTTTTCCTGAGAGGTTTATTTTTGGGCTTGTTGTGTCTTATATGAGAAATATGACAGTGGATAGAGTCAGAAATATGGGAGAGAGGAAGGGGAATGACATCGAGAAAAGAGCCACAGGTGGGATTTGAACCCAGGTCGCCTGCTTGGAGGGCCATAGCCTCTGTACATGGGGCTGCATGCATTAATCACTAGGCTACCTGTGCCCATGATCTAAAATTGTATTAATGTTAATCTATTAGGAAGTTGCTCACTTGAACATTAACAGTGAGCAAAAGGAGATATGATGTTTTATCATAAACACAATATAATTGGATTGATCAATTTAAATTATGCAAACGTATGCAAATAGGAATGAGTCCCCTCTGGGCCGGTCACATTTACAATATAAAAACTCCATAATTCAAATTCACACAAAAGGCCAAACTGTGGCCTACTTTCATAAAATGCAGTGGCTGTAAAAGAAGTGTAGAATTGCTGGTCTGCACTCTGTCCAGGGAACAGCCTGACCTGATTGGTCCTGCATGCAGACTTTGCACCATTAAGATTCATGAGGTTTGAAACAGGGAGAGCAAATTACCACAGCTATTCCTCACCGCTTGAAAAATTAAACTTTGCATAGAGCCTTGAGTGTAAGAGAAAAAAAAAAACCATCTCAGAGCACAAAGCCAAACTGCACTACAGAGTAGATGATAAAGTACATTTAAAAACAAGCTGCTCTGTGCCAAATGTCATATCAAACATCATGGTAAAACCAACCAATGACCAGGTGATGATGACGATGATGATTCAGAGATTGAGATTTCTGCATATTTATTAAAATTGCTGATTCTTTGGGATTTTAAAGAAGACTCACAATATGAGGCAGGCCACTTGTAAGACACTGTCCCTCCAAGTCCTGAAGTGGCCGAAAGAAATTCTCAAAAGAGCAGATACTGACGAACAAAAAACATAAAACAGCAGTTCAATTATGTGCACAGAGATCATCGCGGTCACAAGTCTACGCACTGTGCACCTCACCACCCCTCCCACTTGCTTGAGGTGAATTCTCCTGAGTATATCCTGCTGCATTCACACATCAGCTCACTGCTGAAAAAATACCAGGGGTCTGGCAAAAAAAACTCTGGATAAAATCCCAGGGAAGAATCTGGCTGTTTGCGTTCACACATACATCTCCTGAAAATATCTGGATTGTTTTAAGGTTTTTTTTCTGCGAGTGTGAAAGCACTTATGAGGCCTTGTCTGCTCTGAGGTAGTCAAAATAAGATTTGCACATATTAAATAAAATCATGATAACCTCTTGGATAGCATACACAGACCTTTTGGTAGAACAATTAATCAATGAAAACAACTCAAATTGATGTTAATTCTTGACAGTAACTAATCTGTATTCACTTTTTATGATTTTTTTGAATGTATTTATCTTTAAATCTTTTTTTTTTAACTTCCTTTACGTTGTTCTTCAACAGTTTTAAATTACACTATTATGCCCTTATGACCTGCAAAGGAAAACCTAATCACAATCAAAGTCAATGTTAGTGAACTAGCAGTAATTCCATTAAAAACTTTGGAAAAAGACTGCGAGCGGACATGTGATGAAGACTGCTTTGTCAAACACTGGGAATGTGTTTCATCATTATTAGTCCTAGGGGCTTTCTGCAGACAACCAGCTAAGTGTGACTTGGTTGGAAAACATGTAATGTAACAAAAAATATATAATGAAATACAAATATGTGGTTTATAATTGACCATGTCTTCTTCTCCAGCTGAGGGCTTCCCTTTTCACAAGTATTTCTTCTTACCACAACAAACATAACCAGTAATGAAGCTGGAGACGAGCCCGCCCGTCCTCTGCTCTTACGACACATTCTTCCTCTGGGTTTCTCTCCCGACTCAAATAAAAACCTTCGTTAACATTCCAGACATTGACCAGAGGTGATAACTGCTCCGCATGGCATTGAAATTCCCCTCAGCCCACATTTCTCTGGAGATTTATCCCCTTGTTCAAGCTGTATTTACAGAGGCAGTGGGCCATCAGACAGCAAACCGCTGTGAACAATCAAGACTGGGGTTAAGTTTGTCCAGCAACATGCACTGAATTAAATCTAGATACAAGGCCTTCAGGAGAGCAAAAACCTGACTTTGATTGCTTTCTTCAAATATTTCAAAGCGGTTTGATGTCCCAGTTTTTCTATTACTTTAATTACTACACCTTCAATAAATTGAAAAACTCAGGGAAACATTACCTTAAAAAGACCCGTTTCTCTGGCCTTTTTCAACAATCACAGACACACAAAAAAAAAGAGAATGAATTTGCCAATTATATTTTGAAATAAATGTCAGAAACAAAAGGCAAATTATACAGGCTTTCCTCTTTTGTTTAATTTCTTTGTTTTCACTCTGCCTATTAAAAACTCCATTAAAAATGAATCGCTCGGCTGCTGTCAAGTCAGTATGGTTTGAGGGAAATGTGACTGATTGAAGTACGTTGGCACTTTCAGGACCGGATAAGTCCTTCGAAGAGATATCAGCAGTGATGGACAAATCTGAGAGGAACTTTTTCAGTGGCAGTGGGTGAAAAGAAGAGGGATGGCGGGTTGTGAGACTTGACCTTGCAGCTGCACAGTATGACACCATACTTATCGCTGTAGAGCCCCTGGAAACAACACAAAGCCTGGAGGGAGACTAACACACAACATTATCATCCCTCCTATACTGATCAAATTAAGCCCATTACTATCTTCAGATAAGAGCTTCTGCAATAAATGTTGAGACACGATAATATGAAAACAGATTGTCTGCTGATGTTTAACTGACGCTCCAGGCCAACACAAAACCTGCATCATACGGGTCACATGATTACAGTAGGTGTGACTTTATGAGTGTGCAAATAAACACACTGCTCACTAATTAGCATTTATTGCTAAAGGGGCTCAACGACCTGTAAGGTAAAGTTCACTCTGTGGTTTTCAACTAGTTAACAATGCACCACTTACTGGAAACCATTTATACTAACAACAAAAAACATTAAACCAGCCATTACGTACTGCTACCTTAAACTTCAAATCCTTTAAGTTAACCCCTCTATCCTTCATTGTGCACATGTAGACCTCCACAGCGAATTAAGCAATTCAAATTAAAGGTGCACTATATAAATTTGGAAGTGAAATTTAAAAGTTGGAGAAGTGAAACTATGATATGCTTTATTCTGAACTAAATACACAAACTTTATTCAAAGGTAAAACGGGTCCCTGGACACTGTTTGGAGCTAAAAGGCTCCCAGGAGAGTTACTGTGTCACTGTTGCAGCACCTCCACCATAACTTCTTGGGGAGCATTTTATCTTCAAACACTGTTACAGGGACCAGATTTTCCTCTGAGGACAGTTTGTGTATTTAGTATGAACATATACCACATAATCTAGATTTCACCAACTTTCACATTTCTCTACCAAAACTACATAGTTCACCTTTAATTAAGCTTAATTTTGTGTTTCCTGAGTTTTTGGACCTTTGTCAACAGTATGTAAACTTCCAACTTTGTAAGGGCTGTGTTATCTGTGTAGATAGTTCAATAACTTTTCCCAGTGAACACTAACCATGAGTTATATCAATGTTGAAATTAGTTTTAAAACAGGATGAAATCAGGACGGTTCAGGGGTCTAATTTATAAATGCTGCGTATGCACAAAACTGTGAGAAATAAAGACTCTAAAACGTCCTGATGCCCACTATAAAACTTTAGCTTTGTTGTTTGTCATCCTTTAGAAGGAATTTATGCTGAAATGACTAAAAAAGTCAAATAAAGTTTTATTATCTGGGGTCTCATTGGGGTATAGCTAAGCTGTAAAGAGGCACAGCAACATGATCGCAGATGACCAAAACACAACAAAAACAACACATTTTTGCTCTTCAACTCAGACTTTTATTTGGAAGATATATTTAGTCAAACAATATGTAACAATATCAACAAATGCGACAGTATAATACTGATTAAATTACACTACAGGCTGATAAATAATAAGTTAATCTCCGTAAAAATACATCAAACAATCTCGGCATACAGTGAAGACAGTAAAGGCTCAGCCGCTCCATCTCACCCTGAAACCTCTGCTCCACCTTCATTTGTTTTTTTCTGATAAAACACAACAGTTAGGAGCTATAGATGTGCGATAACATTGACGACCCCCGGCTCGTGCTGCTCCGATGCAATCTCTATGTTCACATTTGTGGCTTCAGAACATTCAAGTCACAGATAACTGCCACAATCTAGAATAAAGAAAAGAAACATGATGCACTATGTTGATTAAACGAAAGGCTCAGACTGGGGATGACTCTTTGACAAAATTTGTATGCAGAGAAGGCCCTCCACTCCCTGACTGCTGCACGTGTAAACAGAGGCAGGGATGATGGAGTAGATTTGTTGTTGCAGGGCAGCTCCCTCCTACTGGAAACCAGCTGCTCAGGTCAGGGATCAGACTGGGCAGGGGCGTCGAGGTGACACTGTAATGACAGCAGCTACCTGTAAAACACAAGCAGAGCAGACAACAGGCATCAATCACCCATATCCAACCCCCCTCCCGCCTCTTTTTCAGAAATGCCGCCATCAGCCTCCACAAACCACATGGAGGATGTTGAACTCCTAACAGGAGCCTTTCCCCCCTGGGCCAGTTATTCCCTTTCATTTGTGAATTATTAATTGGTAAGAAACCAATTTGTTCTTTTTATTCTAAAAGTGTCACAGGTTGTGGGGAAGTAATTTATGATTGGTGGTCAACAGCAGAGTTTTAATTAAGTCCGGGTCGGGGTTCACGGTGCTGGAGATGGAAGTGGTTCATTAATCACCAGCTAGCAGACGAAGCCGCTACATGAAAGGCCAAAGCGCATCACTTTTATCTGGATTACAGTTAATAGTTTGCCAACAGGAAACATGTAAGAGAATTAAGCCCTGCGAGGAAAGAGGATTTTAAAGGATCAAGTGTGGCATTCAATGAACAGAAATAGGTTGATACTGATCAAAATAAGGATTTATGACATCTTTATTGGCTTAACAATCAGCGTTTTTACATTAAAATTCTATAAACACCGGAGTGGTGCTGCACTGATTGAGTTCTACTTCTAATAAAAGGTAAATGTCAGCCATGGTTTATTGATCCAAAAAAAAAATTCATTTGAAAAAAAAAAAGAATATTCCTTGAAATAAAAACATTTTAATTGATTTCATTAGAACCTGATTGTATTTGTTACACAGTTTTATCTACAGACATTTGTATAAACTATCCAGTACCCGTTACTTTTTCTGAGTTAACATGGGAAATCTACTTCAGACATCCTCAGAGCAGACAAGATGAATAATGCTGCATTCATGTTGTATCGGACACATCGGGAAAGTGAGTGTTTCCTCTGTTGTAAAATGCACATGAACGCGCCTGCTCAAGTCTGAACAACAACTCAGAAACTCTGGGAAAAAATGAGGTGCCTGACTTGTGGTCATATTCGTCATCACCTTGGGGGGGGGGGCAAAATAGATTTGTTAATGTTGAGGCAGAGACATTCACACGTCTTCGTAGCAGCCACCGTTTTTATTGGAGTTGTGACAATATTCCAACTTTCTGAACTGAAATCATGTGAACGCACTGAAGAACTAATTTACAACTCAGAAACTGCAGCAATTCTTCAAAAATGTCCAGATTCTAAAAGTTTTTCTCAGGATTTTGGCCGTAACAGAAACTCTTAGTCCTTAGTAAGCTTTGTGAAAACGGCCCCCTGGTTTTTACTACAGCTTTGATGATTAAGACAAATAAAGTCATGGAAAATGTAAATCAAGAAAGTGGAGTCACAATGCAGAAAAAACAACCTGTAACCTGACTTTTATCGTTAACCATTTTCCCTCACACTGCTGCCCACAGACTGGACAGCTGGTAGAGCAGCGCAGAGTGTCTAGTATTCCTTTAAATGTATCAAATCGGCTCAATATTACCTGGTTTATGAATTACATGCATTATGTTCTCTTGGTATAAGTAGGAACAGTGAATGAGAACAGTTTGAACATGATTCTGACATCTGAGATTGTCTTATTTATTTTTACACATCTTCTCCAAAATCATTCTGATGTGTTTGTTCTCATTGAAGACTTGACATCTCTTCGAGTTCAGGTATGCAGTCAGTCAGTGAGACATTAAAGCTGCAGCATTCAGTAAAAAAAATGACATCAATAAAGGGATCAACTTCGGTGGCCTTGAAGGTTAACTGTAAAAACAATGTGAAAACACATTGCAGGCAAGACATGCAGGAAAGAAGCCACAGGTAAGATTCAAACCTGGGCTGCCCGCTTTGAGGACTGAGACTTCTGTGTTTGTGGTGCACGCTCTAACGGCCAACTTCCACCAGGTGTGTGTTTTTTTCATGAAACGTTTTTGCATTTTTGAAGATGTTAATTGTGTTTCTATAAAAATTTTGCATTGGAGAAATATTATCGAACGTTTGAGTGTGTTCTGTGAAATCTTTTGTGCCTTTACTGAATTATTTTTGACCTTCAAGAACACGGTTATCATCCTTCAACAGCTACAGGGATTTGCTCTATCATTCAATACAAAAAAATAAACTTCATGTGAAACTTCTTACACCCAGTGAATTCTATTTTTTGATTCCTCAGTCCATAACCTTTAAGAAAATCTTTCTGGAAATCACTAAAGGAGGCAACGTCTCATATTTTACCTGCTGGGGGCTACAACACACACACATACACACACACACACACACACACACACACACACACACACACACACACACACACACACACACACACACACACACACACTTTATTAAAGAGAGAGAGGTGCACCCAGACAAACTCAGGACATTTGTTTTACCTCTTTTTCATATGATTTTTATGCAGCAGTTATTTTCATTTTTTTTATTGAATTTCAATTTAGATACTCTGGCAGTAAAAAAGTAAAGACTATAAAAACTGAATGAAGCCAAATAAGAGAGGAATTCAGATTTGTTTCTGGTTGACTCAAGGGCTTCCAAACCCGGAGTGATAAAGAAAAGATTAAAATTGCATTAGGTGAGCAGAGCCAGGAAACCAAACAGTGGCTCATATTGCTTATTTCCTGGGAAAATGCAAACACAAATGTACTAAAATAAGAATACTTTTTAAAAGATAAAGCTAGAGGCTGTTCCAATACAAAACAGTTGATGCTTATAATAAAAATTGACAAAAGACAGGGAGACAAAAAAAAAAAAAATTCCTCAGACAAAAGCCTTTCCCTATTTTCAGCCACAGCTATCGTGGATCTGAGCCAGTTAGGGAAACTTAAGAAATCGACACCCGCCATCAGATCGAGCAAGCATCTCACAGATTGACAGAGAAAAGTGTGAGCATGAGGACGGGAGAACGGGAGGATAGAGCTGGAGGAAGAGGAATAATAGAGAGAGAGAGAGCTGTAGGGGGAGGAAGAGTGATGAGAGGAGTATGAAGTTTGACAGGAGAATGAACATGACTACACTGCAGAGCTCGTCCATGAAAAGACCTAAGGCGTCCGTCAGATCGGTGATTTTGTGCCCGTCTGCACAATGTTCCAATCCCCCACCGACTGGAAGGACGCCAGTTTAAGGGGTGAGGAGGTGGATGGAGACGATTTATGTCATGGGTAGATCTGATTATATGTGTGTCTTTGTGTTTTTGGGTGTGTGTGTGTGTGTGTGTGTATGAAGAGAGAGATGTAAAGATGGTTCTTTGTAGAGATCAGAGGCCATGGGGTGAATGGGTCTGCTTGGCTCGAACAGTCGAGACTGCATTGCCAGTCACAGCAACATCAAAGCTCTGTCTGCCTGCCACCAAAGAGCCCACCCCCCACCCCTATTTCCGGACAACACACACACACACACACACACACACACTCCAAGACCAAATTCACTCCTCAGTCCATTATGCTGCCGGCAACCTTCACCACTACTTGCTCCTTGTAGTAACCTTAACGTCGGCCTTGAAGACTCTCATCATTCATCATCCTTTATCTATCAGTGTTATATATTGTGTTGTATAACCAATATGTCTTGTTCTTCAGACTTCAATCATCCAATCCACAGAACGACACAAAACAAGAGAGAAGATTTGTCAATTTTTTCATGGGCGCAACCCACATACTCAGCTCTGCTGCTCATCCCACAAATGCATGTTCCTTAAAAATGTGGCACCATTTAAGAGGGAAATAAACAGGTTTTACAATGGTATAAGATTTATTGCCAAGAAGCATTGTTACAACAAAAAATGATGTACCGAACAAAAATGTTTTTTCCACTTAAAGGGATACCTCACCCGTTGGAACATGAATGCGTATTGACATTGGGTCATATATGTAGAAATGTGAAATACATTTTGAAATTGGTGCCTTCTTGGCCGAGAAAAAGCAGAAAAGGTATTTTTGGCTCATATGGATGAGAGACACCAAATCCCAGAAGCCACAGCACCACAGGCCACTCCCACTAAGGTGATGTTTAATGCTAAATGCAAATGGGTGAAGTATCCCTTTAAAAACTCCTGACATGAAGATACATTATGTGTTTATGAACTAAAACTAGGACTCACTGTTTTAAATTTACACGTGTTATTTAGTTTCAAGGTCCACTTCCTGATTCAGGATGTTGCTGGCTAAACCCAAAACTTCAACAACAGGGACTCGCAGACCATGAAGTGCGTTCCTGGTAAGTGTGTGAGTGCTTAGTGCTGTCACTGGGTGAAATCACAAGTGTGCTAAGGCTCTTATGTGGACTTTTCAATGGCAAATCGAGCACTCTCTGTGAGTCCATATATCTGCAGTCTTTCCTGTGGGATTGACCCTGAGTTAATTACATGCTTGGTGACGTAGAATTGAAGCAGTATTGAACTGATGAGTAAAGGGTTGATTGTGTTTTTCAGTTTAATGTTCACAAGGTATCAAGATGGTTTTTTTTCTGACTTTTGGTTTGCTGAGATATATAAATAATTTGTTGAAAGAAATCCACTTCCTTGTTAGAGGTTGTCTTATTTGAACAAGCATTGCTCTACCGGGTGTTCAAAATCTGGACTGAACCAAATGGCACTTTGAGATGGGGGGAGAATCCAGTAGTTCAGCCATGGAAAAATCCACTATGGGCTTAAGAAGTATAAGATTACTGTTTGTGTTGATGTAACAAAAGGTTTTAACAGTAACTACCATACACATACATGCGCCGTCGACGAAGCAGCAGGAGCAATTCAGGGTTAATGTCTTGCCCAAGGACACATCGGACGACCGACTGAGCCACAGCCGTTAGACAAGGAAGTATTAAAAGCTATGGTTTGATTCAATCCAAACACCTTGTAGAGGCCTTTCTCAAACCAACCCCTACATCATGGGTCTTCAACTACATTTGTTCAAAGGCCAGCTTTTTTCTTGACAGACACTGTGGGGGCTGGACTTTAAAATATGCATGCACATAGTAGACAGCTATCAAGCTCAATGTGAAGACTTTGGTGCCAGATGGGAAATGTAATTT